TTGGGTCAGTCGCCAGGATGATTCTATAGTTGAAAATGATCAGAAAAGCCAGCAACGAACTAGAACGCAACTTCCACAACTAGAACCACTCCAAAACCTAACTTCCCCGTAACTTACACCTGTAAAAACCGCTTCAAATAACAAACAACTGAATCCCGTATCTTCCACAAGTTGCACCGTTCAACTTATGTAAGGTCTGGCAGAAGAGTAAAGATCTGAAATATCAAGTTAAGATCTGGAAGATAAAGTTAACATGATCTACCACAACATCCCACAACTACCATCACTAGTTATGAGCATCTCAGTAGGAACGTGGGATCCCGGAACCGGGAACCTGGGAACCCAGCCCGCCATCCAAATCGGCGGGACATGTTCGCCAACTCTTTCCATTTCCGCTAGGACCCCTTCAGTGCAACCATGGATCGGGGAATGTCGCCAAACAATACTATGGGGACGGTGTTCTTTTGTCCAAGATTCGCCTGCAGGAGGACATGCCCGACTTAACAACCCTGCTGCCAGGGCGCGCGCACCCCTTCCGTGCCCAGCGCGAGCCTGGCCCAGCCTGGCGTCGGCGTATCCCGAGCAGTGGCGAAGCGCCCTTGCTTGCCTGACAGGCCCACCATAGAAGTCTATCAGGAGGGAAAATAAAACACAGACGCAATTAATCGGCGATCCTCCAGAAAATATGGGAAAATATGGGAAGTGGGGGGGGAAGACAAAAACCCAGAGCGTGTAGGACAATATGCGGAACCTTTTTATGTGTGTATTTATTTGTGTGTCCCAATTCCCCTTCGTTCTACGCCTCCCAGATGGGATCGGAGTAGATGGGGTCGGAGGATCGCGCCGCATCGCCGATGCATCGCCAATGTGGCTCGATATGGAGCCCGATTTGCTTCACGCCGACGTCGCCGATGCATCGCCGATATATGGCAGATGTATCGGCGATGCGGCGCGATCCCCCAACCCCATCTACTCCGACCCAATCTAGGAGGCCTCTAAGAGTGTTCTAAGAACCCGTTGTGGTGTGCACGGAATGCTCTTATACCATGTTCTGTTGGGGTTGTTTTGTTTTATATCCTCGGGTTTATGATATAATATCACTGCGTTTTTCCTTGGAACATCTCTGGATGGCCCTATGGGAGTGCCGGGACAGTCGGTCCCTGCTCAAGTATACTCAGACATGCGCGCGTCGTAAATAGTTACGTGCAAACCAGGTCGCCGGGCCGCGGGACCGGCAAACAGTTCTTTTCAGGCTGGAAAGCCGGCCCCGGGGAAAGTGGTCGGCATTTCCTGGGACCGCGCGTTGACAGATTCAGGGCGTCGCATGTTTGGGTAAGAAATCGCCTTCCCAGGACAAGCACCAGCGCCGGGCGGAGATCGCGAGGCAGGTCGCGGAGGACTGGAGCGTGAAGCGAAAATCGTGCAAGCGAAAGCGCGGCAGGAGGGTCCAGCGCCGACCCAAGTAGCCTGCGCGCTCTTTCGAAAGTGTTGTGCTTACAGTCACTTGGCATCGCTCGGACGTGTGCATTTTTCCTTCGGCGAGGGCCATCTCATTTGGCGGAAAAACCACGCACGAAACCGAACAAAAACACAGGGAAGGGCCGTCCGAGCGATGGCCAGCGAAGGTGTTGTGCTTACAGCCAAGATGCCGAGACAATGAGGACCAATTCGGATTCAGGAAGGCTCTTCTACCTCTTGGTTTTAGGCTGTTTGGTTTAGTTTTTTAGGTTTTTAGGCCTCCAGTGCTAAAAAATAGCTCTCTGGAAGGTCAGGGACGGCTCTGGCTTCGGGCCTCTCCTGGCCGTGGCCGGAAGGCCCCTTCGGCTCTTCCGGCAGCTCCGCGGTCCGCGCAGGCGCGGCGGCGGCCCCAGCACGGGCGTGCGAGGTTGAACGCCGCCAGTGGCCCGGAATCGCAAGCTGGAAAGTCAGGAGGGAAAGAAACACACAGACACAATTAATCGTCGACTCCCCAGAAAATATTGGAAAATATGGGACTTGGGGGGGAAGACAAAACCCTGAGAATATGGAAAAACATGGGAATCTGTTTTATTTGTGTGTATTGATTTGTGTGTCCCAGGGCCCCTTCAGAAAGCCGCGATCGTTCGAGGTTGGATGATCCACACGGTGTCAGGACCCAATGCCGACGTCATCGCGACGTGACCTCATTCCCAACCATCCTGTGGTGTCGGGTCCTCGTTTTGAGGAGGACAGCGCCCCGCGTCTCCTTCCTCCTCCCGCTGCCTCCTCCCCCTCCTCCTTCCCTCATCCCATCATCATCATCATCCTCCATATCATCATCATCATCATCATCATCATCATCATATCATCATATCATCATCATCGTCATCCGTCATCATCATCATCATCATCATCATCGTCATCATCATCATCATCATCATCAGCATCAGCATCATCATCATCATCATCATCATCATCATCATCATCATCATCATCATCATCATCATCTTCATCTTCATCTTCATCTTCATCTTCATCTTCA